TAATATATATATATATATATATATATATACATTTTACGTCGTTTCATAGTGACGTCGTCACGCTGTCTAGATAGAGGTAAGACATTCCAAACTCTTGACCGAGGATACCTTTGAGGCGAGTTATGGTGAATGTTGTCGTATGCACTATCGAGTCGACCTGACTATGAATTTTGCGTTTTTCCATGATTACATCGCCAATTGATGAGGCGATATGTACGGCGTTCCGGGTTTAATGCAATATGTGCTGTGCTGTTGAATCTTTTAGAAAGCAAGGAGCAAAAAATGCAGATGTCGCTCTATCAAAGGGCGCGCTTGCATGTCTACACCGCTATGCCGTATCCCAAAGCTTGCTGTATTAAAGCACCGCCTCAGATGACAATTATTGAATTTGATGCCTTCCGACAAGGAACTAAGGCACAAAAACTGCTCATACATGACACACTTTCAGGCGGCCACTTAAAAAAGACGTACTGCTCGTTGAACGCAACATACCGGTGATTCAAAATGAATCGGCGGGTACAGACTCCCATTTTTTGGCAGTACATTAAAATGAACATAAGTTTCTCAAAGGATAGGTCCGGTGTACCGGTAATATGGTCTTTGTGGACAACCTGAGCAAGATTTCTCATGTTATTGTTGTCAGTTATGCCTAGCCAGTGAGAATTTAGCTAAGCTGTTGCTTGACACATTTTTCTCTTCAAATATTGCCGGCTTTCATTGTGTTGAAAAAACTTCCGCCTTTTCATCGAAGTTCTGGCGAATACTGCTAAAAATGTTCTTAGCCCCAAAAAGAGCATTTCAACTGCTGACATTTGCAAGCAGATGGTCAGCAATAGCCTCTTAATCTTAGCGTAGAATACTCTCAGAATACATACGCGGAGAGGTCGAGGTAAGAGTGAATACTCTCAGTACTAAACTCGATGTGGACGTCTACTTGGAAGCTTATCACTTGAAGAAGATGTGCTACAAACTGCACTTTTTATATCCAAGATCCAGTCGGTACAGCTATCTGGCAACTGTCAGAGTTGCGTGCCACACTCACCAACAAGAAGGGCGTTGCACTAGGCGACCCATATATTTTCTCAGGTTGATAAGAAGAAATGGCATACATACTTACAGTTGACCGGTTATGAAGTAAGCATGATTACGTCAGGTGACACCCAAGACTTCCACAGTATTGGTTTAAGATTGTCTCTTCAAATGAAGTAGATAATAGCTTGGCTCTAGATAGATCGCCGGCCCACTATCTGGTATGTATTTAAACGGGTGGCCTAACTTGATTTTCACTGTTCTACTGAAAGATGGCCCTACCGCGACTGGCTCTTGTGTCTCCACATTCTTGCCATCTGTCAGCGCACCGTAATCGGCACATGACGCTGAGCCTCATTGATAGATAATCTATAAATGCTACGTGGTGTAGCAGAAGTAATATCATCGGGTCGAATCATATTGACAGCAGTAACCAACCAAGATTAGAGCTCTTTGTGGTGTTGGAAGGGAATTAAAAATACATTGAACAAGTTGCGGCATCATACGGTAATTATCGACCGCGCAACAGCTTAAGACATTATCTTCTCCATCGCAATAATCGCGCTCCATCCAGACATTTTTGTGGGGATGGCCAGTGGTAGACAAGAGAAATTAATTTCTGCGTACATAGTATCAAGTTTGCCGTTTCTCTAACTATTACGATCCAAACAATGAGCAATAACAAGCAATGCTGGCGATTAAGTTTGCCGTCGATATGGTTGGGTCCATCATCACCTATGGAAATGTGGCAGATGACAGAGTGATGAGCAATTTTGCTCATATGGCTCACAAAGATGACTGTGCTGGTAACGACCATTGCCTCTTCCGAAAGGACATAAGTGGCCATGATAACGGACTGCCAACTCTCTGCTCAAAGCGGTAGACTGACCTATAGTGGGAAGTATGCGGTGATAGATTAGACGCTGAAACATTTTGCAGGTGTTAAAAAAAGCGCTTACTTTTTTCAAGATGTTGCATCACCAGTAGTAAGCTTTCGGTGAGACACAAGTCACTTTTAATTTATGGTGATTCCCAAAGGGGTCGTTCCGGATTGAGTAGGGCCCCCATCACGTACTACTGCACATTAAGTGTAATTTGGGTCAATACTGTAAGAAAGCAATCCTTGGCATAAGATAAATCGGTGGAATCGAGCAGAATAACGCTTCAATAAAGCAGTCTCTAAACTTCAATCTTTTGCTTATCAGAGCTTTAGGCAACGAAATGCATGTTGAACCTACTCGCCTTGCCGATTTTGGACGCCCATATGGTGACATATGACAATTATCATCTGGATGACGTGAAATCGCAACTTCAACCACATCAAACCAGTTCGGCTTCGGCCTTACCTCAAAGGTATACTTGGTAAGAAATTATCTTGTCATAAGCGACAACTTTTCAGCTCGAAACGGCGCATTATTTTATCAAAATGGCTCATGGCCTTCGTTAGTAGCTGCTTTTCATACCGCATAGATTTTCTATGTCGCCTCAAGCTGGCCAAACCCAAACCAATGATATTTATATCCCCTGACACTCGTAGAGTATAAATGGTACTATACTTCTGTAAGTAGTTGTTTAGTTCCGAAGCTTCCTTTGGAACAGAACACGGCCAGTCCTCAACATAATTCAAGCTGGTGAGGTGTGCCCGTAAGCCATGCTTTTCAATGAAGTGGATTTCGTCGGCCTTCAAGATATGTTGATAGTCAGCTCTTCAAGCCCTTGCTTTTCAGTACCGCTTAAAAATGGTGATTGTTATTCTCCACATCTATGTCAAAAGAGGAATACTTTTTAAGACCTGTGCATAGGCAAATTATGGGCCAGACGGCTGAGCCATCCGATGTCTAGGCTAGGCTGGTATGTAACACAACCCTTTTGGCATATTGATTACTCCAGAACACCCCGCTCAGATATTTTGCAGCGAAAGAAAAGAAATGTTTCTCACGAATACTGAATTAGAGTGCATCTTTTATACTATGCTGATCTGTACCTAGTCCAATACGCCAAAAAATCATCGTTTTCAGCTCATAGCATGCATGCAAGCTTTGCTAAACAGATCATTGGCGCGAAGGATGACTCTCACTCATCAAGCCTGATTCGCATGGAAAGCCACCTACGCGGTCAAGTTGTGTTTGTTTAGCAGTACCAACGTGGTCCACACTTCCAATTCGAACAACCAGATCAATTTCACAACGGACTTCCTGTCGAGAGACATAAAAGTGTTTATTGGTGTGAACACATCACTAAATTACAAAACAATTGTCTGGATTATTACTGAGCGTAGCCGTTCCGATGTTGATACTTAGCTCGCTGCGAGCATTCTATATATCGGACTCATTTGTAACGAATAAAGAGCTTAGTCTCTCCTCCAAAAGCATTCCATCGTTGAGGAGACTTCATTTCTTTGCGTCGCTTTGCAAACATTACCTGAAATTAAATTATTTTCGCTCGAGGAGAGCTTTGTCACGAGCCTGTGAGGAGACCCTTGTATCCTTTTTTTGGCCACAAAGAAGCTCTTCGGCTCCAGAGTGGGCAAGCCACAAAGCAGTACTCCTTCTGGCTGAGCTTTTACATCGTGATAACGATCGAACATTCTTAAGGAGAGGCCCCGTCCACTCGCAATTTGTGATTGACTAACTTCACCGGCCCTTGTACGGGATGGCGCGAAACTAGTTTTCACTGCTTGTCGTTACTAGCTCTGGCGCAGCGTACCTCAAAGAATAACATCCCAAAAAGAACCACGCTCATTCCTGTCTCAGCAAAGAATCATTGGAGAGGCCGCGATATTTGATCACTGCCTTTTCATCTTGTTATCACAGTTTGACTCTGGCTACCAAAATTTTCAAAGCTTTTGAAAACATCGTTTCTTTGAGCTTTAACAAGCACAGTTTATACGTTGGAAACTTTGCATGGTCAAAAGCACTTCTGTTTTTACTTCTTGCCAAGGTGTGATCAGGTGCTACTGAAGTTCCGCTAGAAGAGAAGTGTGCGGCATCATAGTGTTTGGTTTCAGTCAATCCGTAATTCATGACGCACAATCCAAACGAAATGTAAATATGATTGCATCTGATACACAGGTCAAGGATGGAATACTGTTCTCTAGAGTCAAACTCTTAAATTTCACATGAGAGCTATATAAATTTAATCCGCATGAAGTACTGTCCCCTTTCCGAAACGGACGGATTTGTATATTAAACCTTTAATGCCCCTGCGACATGTCTACTATTTGAAATTCCCGCATCGTACGTAATGAAGGACTTTTTTCGGCTTCACAGAGCTCGAAGCTTTAAATTTCAACTAACAAGGCTGGATTGTGGGGCCCATATTCAACTAGGCTGGTTCTCATCAAGTCTTCCCTCCGTGAGGTACATGTGAGCTCGCTTCTTAACCATTCGGCTGCCCTGCTCCGCGACGTCTCCCCCAGGGAGTTCGTACCTTAGTTCTTCCGGAGAGCTCGAATGGCGTAAGTCCTGATCGAATGAAGAAGGGACACCGGAGGAGTGAATGTTCCATTCTGTTCAAGATCTTCTGAATTTGTGTCAACGTATACCTTAACACCGTTCAAACCAATTTTTCGCATGGTCGCAACATATCATCTTGCTTAGGAAACGATAGCAAGTACATGGACTACACGTTCTGACAAACCGGTACGAGAATCGATGAATTCTCATATGTCGTGATTGGAAGCCTCTAGTTTTTATATCTCAAAATATTTGAATGCTACAGCACAACAAAGCTAAGTACGACGACCCCGTTGCTTTACCACTGTGCGCCTTATCCTGATGGCCAGGTGAGCGGGGTGGGTGGGCTGACGATTTAGATCTCTTCACATTATGGCGAATAGACAGAGAGGGTGCAGTATAGGTTTGGAGGTCGAAAATCAGTAACGTCTAATGATGGGACTGATCCTATCATCGGGCGCCAAAAAATACCACAGATTCGATTTTGTACCTAGGACGACAACTGAGCATGATGCATACCAATATCATAGTAATTAAGAAGTAAGTCACTGAAGAAGAGTACGTGAATTTATAGTATTTTTTCAGTTAGTATATTTTGAGATAGGATGCCAGGTTGGCTTAAGCAGGTGAAGGATAGGCTTTCGCGTGCTCCGATTGTAAGATTGTCGCATCTCATAATGGTGACGTCACCATATCATAAGGCGACACGCACGATTTTTGACCGGGCGCGTCATGTGCTGCGCTGCTCGAAGCTACGGAAAAAATGCTTTATCAAAACGCGCGGTTGCACGACTGCACCATTACGACCTTTCGCGATACTTGCTGTCACAGCACTAACCCACATGACACTCAGCGTGTATTGGTGCCTCATGTATGACAAAAGATCTTAAGCACAGAATCGTCCGAAACACAGGATACCACTTAAGTTGGCCGTCTTAGAAAAAATATTCATACGGATGCGTGATAACGTGTAAAATTGGGCGAGCACGCATCACACACGTGTGGAACGTGTCAGAGGAGTAAGCCGTCACCACATGCGGCGGCACCCCCGGCCAACCTGCAGGGTTCAGTAGAGGGGAGGCAGTCCATTCGTTTAGACATTTTTCGGTCCTCCTAAAGCCTTCAGTAATACAAGTATTGTGGTCGTTGTAGACCGTCTTATCCAGATGGCTTATCTCGGTGTTGTCAGCAATAATTTGACCAGTCAGGATACATCCAAGCTTTTCTTTGGTAAGTTGTTTTACCAACATAGTTCGCCGGTAGCCAAGTTATTGAACTAATATCCGCACTTGGTAAACATCATTCAAGGTTCTACACCAGATTGAATATGTCAGCCGTTACAATCCGTAAACAGAGGGTCATGAGGGGCGCGTGAATTTTGTTGTTTAGGAGCTTCTTTGAGAGCATGCGCGAAAAGACCGCGGGTCTGGTGCAAGTTTGTCTGTTTCTTTGAGTTTGCGCTATACGATTCACTATATACCTCTCAAGGCTTTACCCCTTCTCATACATCGCTTGGTGAGCCCATGGGTGCCATTACACCAACCCGAAGTGGCTCTGGTCTTGGTGTGGGAAGGACTGTCGATTAAGACGACCTGCTTGTATCAGCCCCGCTTCATTTCGTAGCAAATAAGTGATTGTATTTCGATGAGTTTGAGCGCTATGTGAAGGGTGCGCAGTGCATTGGCTTTCAACAAGAGCTACACGCGGATGCAAGGAGCTGGCGACACACACGGGTCAAATGTTTCAATTGGATACATTCGCCTGCCAATACATGCAGTGATGCGGTCTATAAGACTTGGTGCGACCGCGCTAAATCGGACCGATTTCAGTCGAAATGAAAGGAGTATAATGGTAAACTTCAAATGATCGTGAGCAAATGCAAACACACCCAGTGGCTTGGGTAAGGTATTCCACAATACCACTTTTACGAGCTAGTTGAGAGTAAAGGCATTTATTGCAGATGAAGCAACGTATCTATCACTTCGTGAAGCTGGTATTCGCTCTGCTCTATAGGGATGCCTCAAGTCAGGCAGTGCAGTGATGAAGCTTAGATATCAAATACACGATCTTACTCGTCTCAGCTCTAAATGCAAGTCGTGAATTTTAAAGAGAGTAGGCGTGTCACGTCAATCGAGAGCTCTTTCGAGAGCCAGCCGCTGGGGGGTCTAATTTGAATGGCACTGCTCGAGACACAATTTTTGTCCCGCTTTCACATGTCGCTTTTTATGAACCGGCGGGTAGACTAGACTTCTGGTAGAGTAAATTTTTTTTTCTACTCGGGAACCTTGTGGGATGCAAAGATTTAATTGGGTAAGATTGTCTGGTGCCTTGGCCACTTACGACGGCAAACCCTCGGCTTTTATCCTCCTCGAAAAAAAGGCGGACACTCATCGCGGCACAGCACCCGTAAGCAGGAGTGAGAGGCTAATAACAACAGGAATTTGAGGTGATGGGCTGAACCTCAGCGTACGTGTCAGACTTTAACCTTAGATAATCAAGCATGACACGACGCTCTATGTGGACTTTCGATTAGAGGAAGCTGGTTTGTAAATTGATTAGACGGTAAAATGAGTTTTTTTTCTCAGCGGGCGAACCGAGTCATATATCTTGCAGCTCTTCTGTCAGCTGAAAATCCCACAGTCATTCCTCATGGAGGGATGGACTTATATACCGCTTTCGTACTTAGATTGTGCTCCTGATATGTGATTACCTGTGGGTTTCAAAAGCGCTCGCAGAACAATTTTCTCGCGCTCGGCTTACTCTGAGTAAGAATAGAAGGCCTGAGCGCATGGGCGTGTAGAAGCTCCGCACTAGCGCGACAAGCGAACTTTGAACCGCCCAACTCCGGAAACACTACAGAGTTTGGGCAAGAGTTGGAATGATGGTTTGTTGTTTGCGCTTCGTATGAAGGAACGGCTAGACCGTGTATTTCCGATGCGAGCGGTAGTTTTGTTTGGGACTTCATGCGCAGTGATTGTTCGTGAAGCGGCCGATTCTGCGCTGTATCTCAATTTTTATTTTCGTGAATCCGGCTGGTATACATCTTTGTAGTGTAGGTTGTAAGGTGGATATATTGTAATCTTGTGGACTCAACCGTCATTTTGTTTAATTGATATTGATTCGGCAAAAGTGTACGAAGTTCACACAGCACTTGATGTAGTTGTAAAAATCATGAGTATTAAAATATATCGGGATTTATAAACATTATTGAATTTTAAAAAGGAGGGGTGTTGGGGTACACGTGGACTGCTCTATCAGAAAAAGACGGTGCTGTTATGAGAAATCGAAAAGTATATATAGCTGAAACCTAATCTCCAAAATATGTACATTTCATGTAGCAGAGCAAAGTCACAGCCGAGAAGCTCCTGAATTCGCTTGCGGAAGGAGCACACGAACCTCACCTCTGTGTGGATATTAACACAGACATTAGATTCAAAGCTTATACGGCGATTCTGTTGCACAACATTTTGATCGGTTTTAGGAGCAACGCGACTGAGCAATCTCATTGCGGAAATTTTTCGCCGTGATGCGTCCACGTTTTTACGGATTCAGCATTTTCTTAGCCGACCCATACGTTTTCGACGGCCAAGCAACACTCGACTATATCCTTAACTACAAATAAGAAGCGTATGTGATAGCCTTGGTGCAATTACGTAACCATGTTACTTGCGGAGATATCCACTCTTTTATCAATTCTTGTCTCTGGTGATTATTTGGCCGGAGCGACTTCGACAATTGGCAAACTACCACAAACACATTCAAAGCCTAGCATTTTTAAACGTAATGTTTTTGAAGAACAATCTGTTTTTTTCCTACAGTTGGACGAATTTTAGTTATCATATAATTTGGAAAGCTTCATGATAACCTCTTTATAACAAGTCGACTTCTCGCTCACTCGTGCTTTATTGTGAGTGAGATTTAAATTTCCACGAAAGTGGGCTCGATGGCTTCCAATTGTTGAGGTGTTGTGACGCCACGTCAGAGTTTTGTGTACGGTGCACAATGGAAACTTGCAAGATGAAATGGAACATTTTTTTAGAGGATGAAGTTTGCAATGGTGCAGAACATGCGTGAGTGATTGGGAGCTGGTTAGGGTTCTAGTAGCTAATTTCACTTTTCTCTCTGCGCTGCGAGTAACAAACCATCGCTAAAGGATATGAGCCCAAACGCTTTCAAGCCCAAAGAGATGCTTATCGACGACAACTACTACCTGTGGGAGTTCGACGCCCGGATGGCGTTGTCCAGAAAGGGGCTACAAGGACATCTCGAAGCCATGAAACCAGAAGACACAGCGCGCCGTAAAAATAGATAATGGACGGCCGCCGACATGAAGGCACTGGCTATAGTGGCCCAAACTCTAAGTCGAACCTACCAGTCGATGATTCGTCACGCGGGTTCTGCATGTGACGCATGGGAGACGCTGCGTGCTTTCTTCATGAAGCATTCACTTCATAACCATGTGCAATTGAGGAAAGTGCTGGCGGGAATTTTGTTAGGCACGGGAGGAGACCTGATGAAACACATCGTGAATTTTATGAACTGTATTCACGATTGACCGCGGTCGGCAAGGTCGTGTCTGAGGGCAAGAAACTGATCGCTTTACCTGGAAGTTTACCTTAGGAGTATGATGCAATGATACGTTTTATCGAGGCTCACGAGAAGGTGACGTTGCTGGATGCAAAGAGATGAAACACCGTGAGCTCGAATTGGCTAAGAAGAGAGAGGAGAAAGAGCAAGCATTCAAGGCCTCGATGTGCGAGCAAGGTAACTGAGTTTGTCGTGGAAGAGGAAGAGGTCACAGAGGCCGACTTGGTGGTGGAGGAGGCCGTGGTGCTCGTGGAGGTTACAATGGTGGTCGCGGTCAGCACCGGAAGAAGAACTCTGGGCCAACATTTCGTGGGTACTGCTTTAACTGCAATGAGTACGGTCATAAGCGTGACGTTTGCCCTGAGTTGAAGAAACTCTCGGCCTTAATGGATGGTTCAGCACGAGAGGTAACCTGGCTACTTGATAGTAGAGCGAGCTGCCACATGACGGATGGGAAGATGGACTTTGTGGAGTATCAAGTCTTTAAAATTCCAATCATCATCACCGTGGCTTGTGGACAGCGTTGCTAGCC